GAATGCCAAAAAAGTAGAGCAGTCAATACTGAATCATTTCTGACTCCCAAACATGACAACTGGAAGCTGTTCACCTGGCAGAAATCAAGTACAGCCTCAATCTTAGGATATAAAAGAGCTAGAGATGGTTCAAGGAGTCTTTGAATCTCCCGCATTAATATACAAATTTGTGTATGCAAGTGTGTGTGCATGTGTGCATTTTCTTCTGAGGACAGTCTCTTCACCAGATTTTCATAGTGGTCCATGACCCAAAAGAGGTGAAGAGTCATGACATTTGAACCCTGGTTTTCCTTTTTGCTCTTAACCTTTACATTTCCTTTTGCTTTTAAAGTATAATCTAGCCCAGGGTCTCCTGGCTGGCTCAGTTGGAAGAGCATGTGACTTGATTTTGGGTTTGTAAATTCAAGCCCCATGTTAGGTGTAGAGATTACAAAAAAAATTTAAAAAATACAGTCTAGCCCTTTATCAATATACTTGAACTGTTCTCTATTAACGGGAATTTGTTTTGCTCCTGTTAGCTCTTATGGAAGAGCGATTTCCTCCCAATCTGAGTGCTACTATCCATTTTCTAGGGCTTTCCATCCTGTCAACTCAAAAAGTTTTCTTCAGCTTCTATTTAACTCTTTTTATTTAATATCCTTTGGGCTTCATAGGGTGATTTTACATAATTTAGTGGTTAGACTGCGGTGGTTTCATAGTCCTGTGTTCTCCCATCCATCCATCTGTCCCAACTACCCACAATTTATCAAATGCCTCCAACGTACCAGGCACACTTCCAGATGCTGAAATAATGCAGTGAACCTTTGTGAAGCTTTTAACGAAATATATTACATTTTATTTTCTCAAATCACTTAATAAGCCAACTTTTTATGATGCTGAGTCAACTACTTTCAGGAAGAGATCTTACACTTTTTTTTTTCTTTTTTTTTTTTCACTAACAGCATGTGAGACTGTGTACTTGAAGGCACTTTGGCCTGTTTTCTTGGCTGATGACACTAACTGGAAAATATAATTTATATTTACTAAAAATACACATTAAAGGGTAATTTTTATAGTGCAGAAGAAATATTTGCTAATGAAAACGATTAACCAGATAATATCTCTAAATAGAACCAATCCTATTTAAAACAGGATTTAACTGAAAAGTTTCAATACATTTCAACAACCAGAATGTAAAGAGCAGTAAAATGGGAACTGGAGAAACCTAGGAGGAGAGGGGACACAAAAACAATGGTAATTTTAGCCACTCAGTTTAGAAGATGTAACCTGTGGAGAAGCCACTGTAATTAAGAAGATCATTCTACTTGATACAATTCATCTATCATTTACTTACAGCTTTGATCATGGAAATAATACATTAGAGCTTGAAAACCCAAAACATCAGAATAAACATTAAAAATTCAACTCTATAAAGTTTAACTATACACTGGCTGTAACTTTTACACATAAGGCTGTTTCCAAACTAGAAATGCATTTTGGATGATAAAGAATTTATTATGACTTAAGGTAAAACTGACAATTTTGTATACAAGAATTTGATAGAAACAAATCATTGCTACTTAAATCATTAACAGAAAAAAATAAATTCTGAGTACTAAAACGTATAGACTTCCTAACATGTTGCCAGAAGTTGTTAAATGTCATAGATTCTAAATGTCAATTTTATGGTTCTGACTCCATCTGAATCATTCAATCTCTGTTTCAAGCTACTGGAATAGGGTCTACAAAGGATGAAGCAAAAATGTTCACCATAATGATGAGGTCTTGAAAATATACTCTCAAGGACATAAAATACAGGCTTTATATAAAATCAGCAAAAACAAAAAAATTAGACTAAAACATTAAATATTAAACTTTTCCTGCAATTTACTTCTATCTTCCAAAAGGTATATACTGAAACTTCCATTTGCAATGATTTTTATTGTTTTAGATGCAGTTAACCTAGATTTTCTTCTGGGCCTACATAATTAGAGCACATTTTAGTGATGGCAGAAGATAGGGTAGTAATGTGACTGGAATCTGAAGAACTACAGAAGGTAACTACAGGATTCATATCCTCCAGTACATCTTAAAGTGGTAAAATACCTCAATGAGAATATGGCAAATATATAAAACTATACTTACGTATAAGTTAATGAATACTCACTCTACCCTGTATTAAAATACCTTACTGTAAAATAAGGTCTGCATATAGCCCAGAATAATATCTCAATTCCATTTTTCTCCATATTGACAGGAGGCACTCTCTGACAGGCTGATAACCCTGAACCTCTCCAGAAATACATACAGATCCATATTAGAAAATACAATGTCCTCAAAAGAGCAGTGCAGCGATTCTCTCATGAATAGTCTATACTTCAAAATGTTTCAGAACAGCTTAGAATCTGGACAGATGAATTAAAAGAACAAAATACATGTAATCACCTACCCCCCTTGTGTTTTAAATTATCTTTATGTCCATACCTTTTTGGAAGCAATTATTACAGTATGAAAGCAACCCAAACAAACAAATATGATTTAGATAGCCAGAGTTTATTTCTCTTCTATGACGCAGTATAAACAGTGGACAAAAGCCCAGACACCAGATAAGACTGGTTTCACTTACCCAGCTCTGCCCACATATGAGCTGTATGACTTTGGGTGACTTAACATCTCTATTAAGCCTGTTAACTCACCTGTAAATGGGATTATAAGAATACCCACTTCATTGGATTGTGAGAATTTAAGTAAATCAAGTATAATCCATTTAGAATAGTGCCTGGTCATACAAGTATTGGCTATTATTATCTTATTAAATGTTTACTACACTAAAATGTAAACATTTTATGATAAAAATGGAATTGACAACATTTGATAAGCACAAGGGTTTACCTGAGGATTGCTGGTAGCAGAACATGGGAATGTTAAATGAATCTCTGGCATTAAAATATGTGGATAATGGGGATTCCTTTTATTAATTTTTTCAAGGAATCTATTTGTAATGAAATCTGAAAGACTACATGGAAATATATGGGTAAAACTCCATACAAGGACTCTTATTCATAACTCATCACAGATCTCTTTTACCTGTCAACTTATTTAAAAACTTGACAATATTTCAGTTTGATACTTCTGTGGCTTGGTAAAAAAAAAAAAAAAAAGTAACTTTTGATAAAAATATAAATGACTGGAAATAAGCATTTAACAGTAAGGAAAGGTTTAAGTAAATTTTGATACATCTATTTATATAGCCATTAAAAATGCATTTGAAGAATAGTGAAATAGGAAAGTGCTCACAACAGCTAAGTGCAAATATAAAACTAAGCATGATTAAAAAAAAATTTTTTTTTTTTTAAAGATTTTTTATTTATCTGAGAGAGAGAATGGGAGACAGCATGAGAGGGGGAGGATCAGAGGGAGAAGCAGACTCCCCGCTGAGCAGGGAGTCCGATGTGGGACTCAATCCCGGGACTCCAGGATCATGACTCGAGCCGAAGGCAGCTGCTTAACCAACTGAGCCACCCAGGCGCCCCAAGCATGATTAAAATTTTGATTGTTCACTATTCATCAAACTTCATTTGTGTATCATCAAGATTTTTGCCACATTCACACCATTTACATGAACTATGAATTAAAGATTTCTTTTAAATTGACGTAATTTAAATTTATATACTATTTCATGAATGATGCTGAAGACTATGAGACACATTATTTTATGTATCATTAAAAAATACTACTAGGTAACTGATAATGACACCAATTTTAAACACATCCCAATTTTAGACAAGATAGATGTGAAAAAAGATGTGTCTCACAGGCAATAAAATATGGTAACTTCTTTAACTGTCAAAATGATATTTACAGAATACAAGTTTGATCGGTTTAGTGTATTTTTTCTAATACATGTTAAATAAGCACCTAGTAACTAGAGTACAAAGATTAAAAATACATATCCATCTAATATCAATAGTACACATACTACATACTCTGTATGTGTGTATATATATATATATAGATGACCAGTTATATATTTTCATATCAGCTATATAAATACTTTATAAAGAGCACCTATTTATACAGCTTGTTTATTATGTGTGTGTATATGTGGAATTCACTCTTAAGCAGGGAATGGTTTCTAAACAGTATAGTCAAATTTTCCTTGAAAATCTCTTAAATCACCCATTACATCAAGCACATGTAGTTTCATACATACAACCCGGTACAGGAAGGTTTAAGAATTACTGAACTAGACTGCAGGGAAGAGTCAAAAGGACAAGCTACATGCAGAAGTCTGGGCAGTCAAACCCCTACTTACTTGCAGAGTTTATTCCATACTGCTCTGACACTGAACCATTAAACTGATATATGGGAATAATTTGAAATTGTGAAGATTAAATGAGATAGTGGGTGACCCAACTTACCTGCTGCTTAGATTCTAAACCATACCTTAGTGAGGAAGGTGGGGCAGGGAAACAATGAAAAGAAAATCAGAAAGTATATATATATACACATATGTGTGTTTATATATATATACATATTTCCTTTTGGGTTACTTACTCATATATACAATATGAAAGTAAGATATTTTTTATCAAATTTTGGATTTCAGAAAAAAATAGGAAACTATTTTGAAAGCTATTATTTGAGGTGAGACTTTTCTGTTCCTTAAAAAGAACTGGCTACTATGTTGGCAAAATGCTGGTTTCAATAGGCACAGTGCAGGACGTGACTCCACACTCTATTAAGTTTTAATTGTCATCTACAATGGGACATTCTCACAGTCTGCTTCTGAAATTTCAATGCTCACCTTTAAAGTATTTCACAGTTTTAACTCTTAATTCTAAAGTAGCATCTTCATCACACACAAAAATAGTTCGGGGATGCTGCTGGAAAGCAGAAACAGTCCACATGTGATTTACTCCTTCTTCTATTGCTTTGTAGAGAGCAAATGCCTTGTGTGCACCTGTTATGAGGATCATTACCTGAAAAGTCATGACCATTACATGTTAATTAATTCTTAAAACATGTTTCAAATGACTAAAAAGCTCTATTTTTTTTTAAAGAAAGATGTTAGCACCAATACTCTTCTGAAGGTAAAATAAAATAGCTACATATTTCTTCACAGTTCAAGGTATTTATTTTTGTTCTTCAAGGTAAAAGGCAAGCATAAAGTGTAACTTCTGGTTTAAGAAAGTAAAATAGTATCTTCTTATGAAGTATTACTGAATATACCATAATGCAGGTACTTAATACATTAGATACTGATGTGCGTAAGTGACCTGGGAAAATGAAGAAAAAAGAAAGAAAAGGGCTGTTTTGCAAAAGCAGAACTGCAGGTCAACAAAGAATTTACATAACTAGGAATGATATACCAAATTGCTCTAACGCAATCAATACAGTAGATATTACTTTGAAAGAGAAAGAAGCCTAAAGACTATTTCACAGATTTTATCAAAGTTGTCTAAAACTAGATTTAAAGAAGGATTAGGGATCTACTTAAATGTAAGAACTGTCCTTTAAGCACACAAGACTAAGAATACCCGTATGAATTACAGAAAATCCAAGCTGTTGGTCCCAAATTCCTAAAAGCCTATAAATATAAATCAAAGAACATGTGCAAATGTGAGTGTGTATGTGTCAGAATGAATCTTTACCATTTTTATGATTGAGAAGGGGTTTGCAATAATCCTTGAAAAAACTGATACATAGGCTTAATAGTCCTTATTTACCTCTAAGTTACTTGTTAAATGGTTGGGATTTGGTGACTGATTAGATGTAGAGAAGAAACAATGACACTTTTCAACCTCATATAATTTTTTTTTAAGATTTTATTTATTTATTTGACAGAGAGAGACACAGCAAGAGAGGGAACACAAGCAGGGGGAGTGGGAGAGGGAGAAGCAGGCTTCCCGCCGAGCAGGGAGCCCGATGCGGGGCTTGATCCCAGGACCCTGGGATTATGACCTGAGCCTAAGGCAGACGTTTAACAACTGAGCCACCCAGGCGCCCCATCAAGCTAATTTTCATGGTGAGTGTTGCTACTCACCAAAGGAGGGAATATTCAAAAGAAAGGCAAATTTGGTGGAAAGATAAATTTAAATTTTGGACAGCTTAAGTACAGGGAGTCTAAATATGGAGATGTCAGCTGGAAGTTGGAAATACAAAACGTGCAGCTTCAGGAGTACAAGATAAAGATACATATTATTATCACTGTACTGAGAGTACTTTATCTTTTAGGAATAGTGATGAAACTACTGAAAGAACGTTTCAAGGAGTGACTGCTATTGACGTATTAAAAAAAAAAAGAAAAAAGGTCATGCCCCAAAGCATACAGAGTGAATATGCAGTTCCAGAATGAAACCCTAGGGAACAACAATATTCAAAAGGCAGATGAAGAAGAAAAGCTTGGGAAGCAGACTGAGAAGGAATGCTCAGAAAGTAAGAAGAGTAATGGCAGAGTTTTATGATGGGAGGGATGGTCAACAGTAGTAGATGATGAAAAGAGACCCAATAGGATAAGACCTGCAGAAAAGATGCCGGTTGTTAGCAATGAAGAAGTCCTTACTGACTTTGGTGACTTTTAGCAAGGTAGCAAAATCAAAAGCAGATTTTTAAATTAGTTTTTCCTACGTCACCTTAAGAATAAATATCCAAAGTATTATTATTATATATAACAATTATAAAGATGTTGCAATAGTGGAAAATAATTTCTCTTTTGAAATTATCTTTAAAGTATATGACATTATCTTTAAATATACCTCAGTAAAAACAAATTTCAATCCTTTGAAGGTAAATTTAGATTTTGGCAAAGAGCCTAAAGTCAACAAAAGTCAGATTTGGTGGTTCAAGTAAATGACAGCTGTGGATAGAACTTTGTCCAACATGAATTATGAACATAATTCATTCACACTATTCCCAACAATTATTAAATACCTATTATGTGACAGGCAGTGTAAGGTGCTAGATATACATGACCTATAAACTTACAGAGATTGTAAATTAGTGAGAAAAAAGATACTAAACCAGTAAACATACAAGAACAATCAGAAATTGTGAGAAGTGCTACAAAGGAAAAGAACAGAGTGGTCTAAGAGAAAATAGAAGAAAGTAACTTTGACTATGAGGATTATGGTCAAGAAAGGTAATTCTGAAAGTTGAAAACTGAAAGGTGCCGTTTTAGCTAAGCAAGGTCTGGAAAAGTAGAGCATTTCACAGTGGTAATCAGTGTGAAGGCCTCAAGCCAAGAAGAGTGATAAAGTAGTGACTGGAGTGGTTCCTTATCTAGTTGACAATTCCCAAATTTTAAGGAAACCTATAATAACTTCCAGGGTGTCACTTCCAAGGTTATGTACAGAAGGTCCTCATTAACAGAGCTGCCAAACTGTGAAGCTGCTTCCTGATACACTAACCACTTAGAAATTTAGTTTACCATTCATGTGTACTTTCCATCTAATAATAGCATCTTCCCCACACATTGATTCAAAATTTTATTAAGTGTATCTGTTCTTAATGAAACTAAAATTGAAGAACAGCTCACATCACAGTTAAAATCACTGGCAAATGAAAATCTGTACACATTAAGCTCCTTACAATTAAAGATAAGAAAACCATTAAGTATGATGATGTGATACTTGTTTCAAAAGAATGATAGAAAAATCAAAGCACTAGGGCCCCTGGGAAAATAATGAAGTCCTAGAATAGTTTTGCCATAATAATTTTCTTTGTAGTCATGCTGAGAGTGAGTACTTTGAGCTGAGTGACATCATAAAATTTTCCTGAAAAACTGACCAAAAGAAAAAAAATCAGTATCTTAATAACTCTCTGTTCATTCTAAGAATTAGCTTGTTACATTACAAATTAGCAAATAAATCTTGTTAAATGTAAGAAATCTATTTGCATAACTTTCAGTTTCATATTTTAGAAATACAATTGCTCTAAAATCTTTTTCAACTTAATTACTATGGAATTTCAATTCGTGAAGGTCTTTCTTCACATACTGATGATTTTTAGATGAAAAACTTCATTTTGAATGACAGTTCTATTTGTATGTTCAAGTCTAGACATATTTACATTAAGATACATTACTTATTCATCATAACTTGTCTGAATGCTTTCCTCTGAACCTGTCCCATCTTGTTATCAGGAAGGAATGGAGTTTCCATATAATTGAGCCACTTAGAATCCTGAGCTGACTATAATTTGTTCTGTCATTCTCAGGGAAGGAAATGAAAGCCCAATTAAAAATTTAAAAATTAGGCAGGATATATTGTTCAGAGTACTTGCCTTCTTAAGTATACCAAATTTAGAACAGATTCAGCCTTAAATGGGTTCTTTTTATGCTGGAAACTAACTGGCTATCCTCCCACAGTCAAGAAGTATTTTACACTAAATTATCCTGAGCCTCCAAAAACAGTTTAACCAGCATTGCATTTTTGTTACAACAGACCTTTCACCACACCATTTCACTTAAAAACAGACCATTTGATCAGTATGATTTTAGGAACTCAAACTGAGAAGCAGAACAGGCCAATGTAGCAGTATTCCAGAAGGGGTGGTGCCTAATTCTTAGCTCCAAAAGACTTAGTTGGACTCTAAACTTGGCAATGAGACAGAAGTCATTGAGAGCTCGATAACAGTTTACCTAGTGAATAGGATGTAACAAAAATTATTTGGTGCCATAATTCCTCCAAAATCTACAGATAGCAAAGAATATTGAATTCTTACTTCTCTTGCATCCATCACTGTCCCCACACCAACTGTTAGAGCCATAGTTGGCACCTTCGATAAATCTCCATCAAAATATTTAGCATTTGCCAAAATGGTGTCCATTGCTAGAGTCTTTAATCTTGTCCTTGATACTAAACTGGATCCTGGCTCATTGAAAGCGATATGACCATCTGGACCAATTCCTTTTAAAAGAAGTATACACACACATAGACGCATAAAATAAATAAGATTTCTCAAAGTTCACCTTGTTTTTAAGAGCAAATAGCCATATTCTAATGCTGCATTAAATACCTGTTCCTGTATTTGATTCAACAAGTATTTCAGTGTATTCCATATGCTTAGCACTGAGCTAGCATGAATGTAACTGACACTGCAATCTAGCACACATATACACACATACAAATGTAATTAAAAACAAGAACTGCATGAAACAATACTTACCCCTGCTAGGAGTCATTCTATTTCATTAGCAAAACATACAAAAGGAAAATACAGAATGTGAATGACTATACTGATTTCATAACCTAATAATGGGTGACAACCACAACCTGAAAACACTGCTTTAAAGAGACCCACTGCTAGCTCCAATATTCTAGGACTGCCTCTAAAGTATAGATAAAAATATGACATTCCTTATTTGAACGAAACTGGAAGTAAATCTTTTTGTAAAATGAAGAATCCTTCTATGGCATGAATAAATCAAGTTTTACATATGTGTACCCTACTAGCTAGTCAGAGTTCTGACAGCCTCAATGAAAAAATAAATCCACAAGTTCTGAGTCAAAATACCTGTTATATTTATACTCTGCATTTTACTTTAATGACAGATATGCGTATTTTACTGACTCTTAGCCTATAATTCAAACCAATTTCTCCCAGATTACAATAAAGTAAAATATGACAAAGAATAACCTGGTTTTGATGGAACAAAGAAGAAATGAAAATCTTAGGGAGCAAATATAAGCTACCAAAGCACCACATTCTAGGAATTTTTAATGTGGTGACAAAGCCTGACCTACATGTGGTTATTATGTATGGATTTTTCCATTGGTGTATATGTATCTGCCTATAAATATAAGTTTTTAAATTATAGATATGCATTTCTTTTCAGATTTGTAAAACTACTGTTTCTCCTCTTAAATATGTATCTGTGCAAATATTTATATTTCTCTATGTATGTATAGAGAAGAAAGGCTGGGACCAGGAAAATAAAAGTTCCAGAAAAAACAGGGAAGTCCTCAAGGATCAACATTAGTGTTCTAACTGGTATTGTGGGTCATACAAAAGTGTAGAGTAAGGCTGAAATTATCAGCAGTGGTTCAAGACAGAGAAGGGTCAATATATTCCCTTACTGACCAGAAGTAACTATTAGAAATTGAGCTTCCTGATATAAATATGTCTGGCACATTCTCATTCAGTCTTTAAGTCTAAACTAATATATTTACACCTTTAGGAAACATCTCTAAAACATCAGAGTCTGGATTACAGGCCTTCCCTGTGTTCCTACAGTTCTGTGGGGTAGAATATAAATTTCATCGGCGTAAGGACTTTCTCTTAATTACTATACCCTTACCCCTTAGAATAATACATGACACATAGGAGGCCCTCAATAAATAATGGCTGAATAAATGAAAAGATGGTTGCTATTCTTTGGTATGCTCAGTATAGTTTTTCTCTTCTCCTTCTACCTTGCTCTGCTCCCCTCACAATGGAGGGGACCTTTATCTACTCTGTATCTCTCTGAGTCCGGATGATTGTGGTCTAGTGATAAACACTTGTCCCAAGCTGAAACAGTCAGAATTTCAGGAAATTCTGAAACCTGTGTGGGGTGGAGAAAAGAAGGAGGGCATCTACAGCTGAGGTATCTGATGATAGCACTGCAGGAGAGTATCCATAAGTTCCTGCTTTGGAGATTTGAGGCTCCTTGGTTCTTGTTCTTCCACAGACTAGGCTCTTTCAACTCTTCTAACAATTCTGTGTGTTAGCCCAGAATCATTCTAGTTAATTCACTTTTGGTCCCAAAGTAGATTACAGTTACTTGCAAACCAAAGATTCTAATCATGTACCCAAAGGAGAGGGTTAAGGTTTTCCCCACAGTCTTTTTATTTTTTTAAAAAACAGTATCTTAAGATAATTTTAAAGTTAATAATATCCTTAGAGTTTATAAAATTTCATATTTGTGTATTTTATTGCTGGGGGTGGGTCAGGGATTGCATGATTGCAATCTTTTTGTAAAATGAAAATTGCAAGTTGATTGCACTCTACTCTTTCTTTTAGCAATTCTGTCATCACAGGGAGAATGAGAACTTCTGGCAGTATATATTTCGTTTTTCTTTTCTACTGAGGAAAGGGAATTCCTGTTCTATTTCCCAGGAGTAAGACACGATGGATTCACAGTCTTGAGCTCTTCTCATTCTACTATTTCCAGTTTAGAGGGGAAGAATAGGAAACCCCATTTTGGCCTCAAGCCCAACCTGAAATCTCTAATCCAACTTTACCTTTAATAAGGCTGATATTTTGATCCCATTTGGCTCAGTTCTTAAGTGTTTTTATTAACCAACAAACCCTGGAACAAAAGAAGGGTAAGTGATAAGACCCAAATACCAAGCCTCGTCTTGAAAATCCAATAACAAATCTAGATCAACAAAGGCAAAGAATCAAATGAGATTCTTGCATGAGTATACATCCAATAATAGGGTACTCCAAATAGGAAAAAGTTCAAAGAAAATGCAATAAGCTAACCCTTCTTCCCCTATACAGAGTAATTATGTCTTTTGGATGGTAAATATAAAATGGCAGACCCTGATCATGACATGACTACAGTGAAGATGTTAATGGAAGAGGCAAGGAAATCTTATTTATTGACTGACTGATTGATTGGTCAGGAGAAAATGTCTACAGGAAGCTTAAGACAAAAATTGGTTAGAAAACAAAGTAAAGTTCTTTCTAGTATAAGAGTCAGTGATACACACACATAATTATAATTTACAATCCATCTGTTTCAAAGGGAAAACTAAGGTGACCTACAGTGAGGAAATACACCAAAAAACCTAAGCCAAAAAGAAATGAGAAGTGACTTAAAACTATAGGAAAAGAAGAAAGTTCTAAGAGAAATCTTTGATGAGGGATATTCAGGCTTAAACACTACATTAGGCTGTAAATACTTCCTGGAAAGCAGACAAAGGGAGAAAATGGAGTTTAAGAGTTCTTAGGTACCCCCACCCAAGTAAATTCTATTTTCTGGCATAGAATCCCCAAGGGATTTGTCACATGGATCCTTAGGTAAGGCAAATAAATTAAAAGGAAAAAAAATATTTAAATGAAGTAAAAGATATTTTTCATTAAGCCATTTTTAATAATGAACCTCTATTAACTATCATGCCTTTTTGTATAATGGTAAATGAGTAAAATATTTCTTGATATAACTAAAATACAGATACATTAGGTATAATTACATTACAGTAATTAGGTATACATTATAGTAATTCTACTTGATTTTTGTATGGAGTTTAGAAAACCTAAAGAATGCATGGGTAGTGCATTCCTTAAACGTTCCCAAATTACCCTTAATATTGGCAAGTACAAATAGTAATTATTTCAGAATTGAACCATATGGACAAAACTGGAATACATATATTTTCCAGGAATACTGGAATTTTATTTAAAACATAGATAACTTTCTATTTTGAAAAGTGAAACAGTCTAGCTTAGATTCTTGCTCAGATAAAACCATCCCATTTACAAAATAAAGTAAATGATATTGGCTCTGTTAGGTACAGAAAAAAATTTCCTCAAAGAGAAAATCTCAATATTAACCATTCCAAAACTTGTGAGAATTCACCATGTTATAACGTGTAAAATGCTTGCATAGTGGTTGGTGTGTAACTGGTACTCCATTAAGTGTTATTCAGTCTTCTCTTTCTGAACTGTAGATGATGAAATAATTGTTCCTTAGTTCATTGAATTTCCTGCTTTTTTACTGAATTACTTCTAAGGGTATCCAGTGAGATTAATTCCTGTTTTACAAATAACTCAATTATACTGAACTTCAATAAACTTCCCAAGGTCATACAGATAATAAGTGACCCAAACAGAATGCGAATTCATGTCCCATTTTCCCCAAGGGCAACCAACCACCACAACTATATCTGGCCACCTCAACCATCAGTCAGCCTCAATACAGCTCTACTGAAGATCTAATTCATATACTTTTAAGCAGTCTTTTAATAAATATAAGATATATCTGGAGAACTTAATTTAGAGCTTTAGTTCATTTAGTTGAATACTAAGAACTTTGGCAAAAAGCATTTTGGTTTCAGTTTCATTGCTGTTATACTATTCTTATGGTAATTAATTAGCTGTCTCAGGCTTCATAATGACGATAGAAAACCATATTGTCATTACAAAGAAATTTCCTATTTTCAGTGGTACATTATAAACGCACACATGCATGTAGATATATATAAATTTCAAGTGGAATTTAGCCAATTAAACATTTATTCATGTGGAGTTTATAAAGACAGTTATACAGCTTAGTTCACATTAACTAAAGGGTGATGATAAAGTCTCACATCAGTCTTAACTGATTTTTTTAATGAGATGAAGTAATTTAAGTGATCAGTACAGAAATGCGAAAATCCACTGTTCCACATGCAAACTTTTAGGGATTTAACCCTGTAATTTGGTAAGAAAGCTGGGTTGGGATTTTAAAGAAATCATAAAAGATAATTATCATTCAGGAAAAGAAACATCACTCATTTTGAAAGATGTGGTAAACTGTTAATTCTAAAGAGATAATACAAAAGAGTTTAGCAGGTATTGGAACTTATTTCTCAAGACATAATTTAAGCAATTCTAACTTGCGACCTTAATATTTTTTTATGAAAATAAGGTAAAATAAAAATCAGTAGCTGAATAAATGGGTATTACAGTTACAGATGTTCCCTACATTACACAAAGGTAAGATTAATGAGAAAATGTTTTACGTACCTCCAACAAAAAGGTCAATTCCTCCAGCTTCTTTTATTTTCTTTTCAAAAGCATCACATTCTGCTTGTAAATCTGCAGCATTCCCATCGAGGATATGAGCATTCTTAGGATCTATATCAATATGCTTAAAAAAGTTATTCCACATATAAGAATGGTAGCTTTCAGGATGATTTCTGGGAAGTCCTAAATAAAAAGTTAATAAATAAAAATGTAAGTATTTCCAGGAATAAATCCAAAGTTTACTTTTCTGATTAAGCCATAAATGCTATTTAAAATATATAACCTTTCTATTCCATATCCAATGGATATCCAAATTAAATCCAATTTAAAGGCATTTTTATGTGGAATACATGGTCATTATATGCCAGGCGTTAATCACCTTACATGTATGTATTAATTCAAATGATTTATATAACATCTATGGAATTACTTTTATCATTCTTATCTTATAAGCAACAAAAGTACAGAAACATTAAGTAACTTTCCCAAAGTCACACAGCTCATAGAAAGACTGGAATTCAAACACAGAAATCTAGTTCACATGCATTTAATCACTGTACTCCACTTCTCAGGCACAAAACTTCTACCAATGGAACTGATTTACGTATTAATTTCAACAATAATTAGCCATACATCTGAAATGTTGGTCCATGTTTCTCATCTATTTTTCCTATATGCATGCAAAGTATACTGAATCACAACAATTCTTTGGCTATCACTTAGGCTAACATTAAAAATGTATTCCTATGTTCAAAGTTTAAAACAAGAGTTTATTCGCATCACAGATCTTTCCTATTAAGCAAGTTAACAATCAATTTGGCATAAAAGCTTCATAGCCACAAATATAAATATACTTATATTTGAAAAATCTTTATTTTACTAATTACTTTTACATATGTGGTGCTCTATCCCCACAACAACACTGGTTTTAACTTTGCCTTAAGGGGACAAAAAAAAAACCAAAATGTGTGACGTACTGGCTCAAAGTTGCATGATTGGTAAGTGGCAGAGCCCAAGAATGAATACAGATCTTCTGATTTCTAGTCCCATATTCCTCCACGATATCGTGCTGGCATCACAAAAATATAGATTTTTTAAATATAAACTCCCAACCTCACCACAAGGCTGTACATTATCTTCTAATTATATTACATTCAAAACATAAATTCAAATAACATATTAATTCTTAAAATATATTCATTTTATTTAAAATATAACATATCCAAAAAAAATAAAATAAAAAAATAAAATATAACATGTCCAAATAATATATTCAAACAATATACTTACCTACATATTCATCCATGTTAAAGGTCTTCACATATTTAAAAGAAAGGTCTCCATTCTTATGATATTCTATTAGTTTTTTATAACATCCTAAAGGTGTACTTCCTAAAACAGACAGAGAGTCCATTTTCTAACGTAACATGAAAAACTTATTTTTTTAAAAAAGTTTATATTTACTTTATTCTCTTAATGATATTCTCTATTTCTAATTTACTAGGGAAACAATGATTAATTTAAATACATATTCAATTAACAAATGTATTTTGAATTATACATACATTTGCAAGGTACCTTGAAATCTTAGTAAATTAGAATTTGCTGACTAAAACTAGAAATCTGTCAATAGAAATTATAGTTTGGAAAATTATTCTAGAGTTGTTCAGTATTTGGAATTAATGTATATTACAAGATTAGAAACTTCTAGAAAGCACATTTGAATTAAAAGAAAAATAAACGCCTCACCTTTTGAGTAAAAGCTTTTATAGAGAAGGATTTATATCATATAAATGAAATATAAAAAGATCAAGTTGACCATTTAATGAAATCAAAAGGGAAACCAGAGCTAAATTTAAATACTGCCTCTACTTTCAAAATAGACTCAGAAATTGGCAAGGACTGTTAGAGGAACATTAGCCATTATGATTTTAACTGGAGGTTCTGTTTCTTATTTTGTGTTATTTTCAGCATATATCAGCTAAAATGTATGAAGTAAAATGACCTCTGGGAGATGGGATCTTGGCTTTGGATATTTTATCTGATTTTATTGTTTTATAAATGTGATTCTTTTACATGTTTTATAAAACTAAAATCAGTTTGATAGTGCTTCTTGACATGGCACAATAAAGATAAATAAATTTAGCCACTTGTAGATGGCCTCCATTTTTAAATTTGCTGTATTTTTTCATTTTAACTACAAACTGGAAGGTTAGAGATTGACTGCATTTTTTTTTTTTTTTAAGATTTTATTTATTTATTTGACAGAGACAGCGAGAGAGGGAACCCAAGCAGGGGCAGAGGGAGAGGGAGAAGCAGGCTTCCCGCCAAGCAGGGAGCCCGATGTGGGGCTTGATCCCAGGACCCTGGGATCATGACCTGAGCCAAAGGCAGACGCTTAACGACTGAGCCACCCAGGCGTCGCGATTGAATGCATTCTTAACAAGAGATCTGGCTCTCCCTATCCTGGCTGGAGTATTGATTAATTCCTAATATATCCACCATCACAAAACAAAACATCTGCACACAAAATTTCTACTCAAGTGGCAGACAGAGGTATGACAGAACTAAACAGTCTTTGGCGAAAGAAAAAACAAAAAAACAAAAAAGGAAATTCTATAGTAGTAAAAAGATTGCCTTTCATTTGAGATGAAAGAATAATACAAGTGGCTATAAATAATAAATATAGGTTCAGAGAACAGCAGACTAAAGATTTTTTTTAAAGCTAAAGCAAACATACTGTTTTAAATTATAATAATTTATAAATTTTACAATTCCATCTCAAAGAACTATAACCCACTAACATAAGACCTATCTTAAAGATGGATAAGTGTGCTTTTCCTTCTTTTGAGAAGCATAAACAAATCTGTGTTTGTTTCAATGTTAAGAGTTTAATTATAGGACTCCCTCGATTTAAGAATATATGAATAAAAAAGGTGAGGAGTCACAATGGTGAAGACAAAAAAAAACACATTCATTTCCTACTTTTTAATCCAGTGGCTGAAGAAAAAAAAATAAAGATACGGTACATGGTGCACTGGTTAAAGAAACTTCATTTTAATATTTGCTTTGCAAAACTTATTTACTAACATAACTACTACCAAGTGCTTACTATGATTCAGATGAAAGAAAAATTAAAACTGTTTCTATCCTAAAAAACCTCACAAGATAGGAATAGGCAAATAATCATAACAAAAATATTATAAATAACCTATAAGAAGTCTGGAGAACTGTTGTAAATCAAAGAAGAAAAGATTATAGTCTTGTTTGTTGAAGGAAGGATATCCAAGAAGATGACATTTCAACTAAGTCTTGAAGAAGGGGTAGAATTCCAATAGTTAAAATTAGGGTTAGGTTGTAGTTGAGAACAAAAAAAGATGGGGGAGGAGGCCGAGAAATGACATTTGTATGTTTACCATGTGCTAGATGCTATATACTGGTATTTTTATACATCAGCTCATGTAAACCTTGGGAAATTGGCATTATCTTTCCCATTTTGAGAATGGAAAAACTGGGTCAAAAAGATTAAGGAATTTGCCAAATATCATATGGTAATGAAGCCAGAGATTCAAGAGATTTTGTCTGGTTCCATGGCTCATGTAGTTTTCATTATGTAACGCACTAGCAACATGATGAAAGTAAAGCCAGCAAGGTCAGGTCTATTCTTTGAACTACAAGTAGTCTAATTTTCCTATCATGATTCAGAGTAAGAGAATCAGGGAATAAGTTTGGGAGGCAGGAAGCATGCAGGCCCTTACATGTGAAGCTTGTTAAGATCACATCAATAAGCACTGAAAAGATATTCTCCAGAAACTGTGCTTGGTGGAGGGATAATTACAATACAGCATGCTACATACAATTACATAAACATATGCTCAAACTTCAAAAGCAAGGAGGAGAGAGCGTGATTAACACTGTCAATGGTCAATGAAGGAGGAAAGTGGAAAATGTCAATGAAGGTTTTCCAAGATACGTCACTGGCAGGTGCATTATTAGCAGTTAAACTATCCTAAAGTAAGCAAAACTTGTAGATCTAAATACACAAAAGTATGTTTTAAGACTGCTTGCATTCATCACTTTGAAGACTTTCTGCCCCCAAGCTAAAATTACTGTTTATTTCTACATCATAATTAAGACAGAGTGATCAAAGCAGCTAGCCTGGTTGCAGCCTGGGTTTACAGTATGCAAACTGATACAGAGGCCATGTCCAACCATTGAGGCTCATGTATAAAAAATGTGGGTGTTGATGCTGCCAGTCTGGTGTGTACAGTTTTTAAGTCCCTCTTTACCATTCTCACCAAGATCTACTGCCCTGGACCAAAGACAAATAGCAAGATAACAAACAAACAACTTCATGAGCTAAACAATACCTTTCATGGAAATTACACAAGTGGAAAAAAGTATAATTGTAGCTTTTATGTAGTTAGCACATATGGGGGGGAGGAGCAGAAGGAAAAAAATACTGTTTAAATAAGACACACTTATGGGAACCTTAAATTTATACAGTATTTACAGTACGTAAGGGAGTGGCACAAACACTGCCTTATTTGAGCCTCAAACAGCATTATCGGCTATTATTATCCTTATCTTTCTTAAAGGAAAGGAAACCAAAGATTAGGGAGGTAGAATAAATGCCTTGCAGTCACCAAGAAAGTAAGTAGTAGCTCTGATTCCAGGTGCAATACTCTTTACTGTGGAAGTCAACAATATCAAATTAAGTGCCATGAAAAAAAAAAAAATTAAGTGCCATGAGATCAATGACACTACTTGGTTAATTTTTAAGAAAAACCTTAACAGGGAACTAAATACAACAAAACGTGCAATTCATACTTAGGTTTACTCTGTCATGAAGACATACCAGTCTTCAATTTTTCAGTCATAATACTTCTATAATAAAAAGAAAATAAACACAAATTATAAAAGGCTAATAAGATAATAAAAGTATATGAGGCGGGGGGAAGTAAAATGAAGAGACAAGAGTACATAGTTCAGATACCTCTTAACAATCATTAGAAAGGCTAATCTACTAATTAAGTATATGAATAGTGAAAGTAACATCCTTAAAAACAAACAAAAGATGACTAGATAAAGGTACAAAAATATTATGACCATCACTTAAGTTAGGATATTTCCTTTTGCATTTTGGAGTGGAAAGTGATGTATAATTTTAATACAAGAAATTTCCTTTTGCATTTTGGAGTGGTAAGTGATACATAATTTTAATACAAGAAAACAGTAATGAAACACAGATACCAGATAGTTATATACGCATTTCTGGCTCTATATACTAATATGTTCATTCAGTGATATGGCAAGAAATAAAGGGGAAACATATTTTACTAAAAGAAACCCTTCCATCCCATGATTTTATGTACCTAAAATGGGGGGGCGGGGGGGAAGGTGTATTACCTGTTGGTAAACCCAATGTAAAGTATCTGTCCTGTCCAGGTTTGAACTGAATGATGCGATTACAGATGTATTTGGCTGCCCACTCACTAGCCAAGTCATAGTTATCAAGAATTACAAGCCTCATTATGGTGATGCACAGCTTCCAGGACAAGAAGTTCAAACCTGAGAAAATTCCATTGTAGAGCATTTTAAGTAATTTACAGACACTCAAACATAAGTGTTTATGATGACTGATGACTTTAAAAAGGACATCACTTAAAAAAGACATACTTATATACAAATACAACCTGTACTTTTAAAATAGTAATAGCCTTTCTCTTTTGAACAGACCTTGGGTTCTGAGCAGTGGCCTACGTAATTTAGGTACATACACAATCTTCTGAATTAAATATAACACCCACTTTTAGATGAGGAGAAGAAGTCACATAATTTGACTGAGGTCACACAGTTACTAAATGACAAAGCCAGAATTCATATCAAGGCAAACTTAAAGTTTTTATAAGCCACGACACTACACTGTCTTGACAGGGATGTTATATAAAGCAACATAAAACAAACCTAAAGGCAAACAAAGCAGTACTCATTTCTTGAATGCAAGTTAAAGGGAGTAATGATACTTAGCAACCTCTGGGTTACTTACTAAAATCCAGAACTCTCCCTATAAATACTGTAATAACCAAACCTCCCTTTTGTTAAATGTTTTTGTAAAAATGATACCTGCACTTAAAAATTTTTCAATATAGAAAGGTGTAAGAGAAAAAAAAAATCAACTCAAATCCTACACTCATAAATAAAAACTATTAGGCATACAACATTCTAGATGTCTATCTAACGTGCACACATATAAATAGAATGTATAGAAATAATTCTCAACAATGAGATTCATACTAGACATGCTGTTTTTAATAAAAAGCATAATATTTAATTCTTCCTGAATTTAAAAAAAGAAAAAGTGAACTAAAACTGCTGATCTCTGAAAAAAAAAATTCTTCATAAAAAGCAATTTTAGTTCCTAAAAGAGTAATCTAAGGTTAAGACAAAATATTGAGATCAGAGTCATTTAAAAACTATGATTCCATTTTAGACAATGTGGATTGACCTACTACCATGACTCACAACCCTTGATTTCTGTAAAATGTATTATTTTTATATTGATAAGATTTGTAACATTTACACTGTATCCTAATTCCCAGATTTTAATTCTTAGTTTCATATTTAAATGGATCTGTCACCCACACCAATCCTTTTACAAATGGCTTCAGCAGTCCTGAGTTTCTATACACTTTACATACAAAAATAAGTCAAATTCTTGAAATTAATGGGAATAGGTCTTATTACAATGAATATATGAAACCTAAATGATATCCTTAAAAACATAAAGATTTAGAATTCTGGCATAACAAGAAATTATGATCACCGTGATTTAAAATTCTGGCACAGTAACGAGAGACAAATAGCATTTACAGACAATAATCTACATAGGAAGTCATAAATTCACTCCAACACAAATGGACTTGGCCTCTATTTAAATTCATTAATGATCTAATGCCAGAAACAATTTCAAAGTTACACTAAGAATCAGAAACATTTCCTGGCCATAAAGAGATATACTTAACTGCTAATAAGTATGGCCATCAAGAGATATACTTACTTCTAACAAGAATATTCAGCAAACTGATTATTGATAAAAAGAAAAAAGAATTGTAAGGTAAGGAGGAAGAGCATTAGAATTTCCAAGTATCTTCTGTGTTCTGGGCACGCTATCTCTTTTTCTCAATTCAACACACTTATGAGGGCCTATTAAATGCAAGCACTAAGTTGTGTAATCACAAAAATGATTTAAGATAGGGGCCCTACTATTAAGGGCTTAGAATCGCTGAATAGTCTCTGGGGTAAAAATTATCATCCTCATTTTTCAGATATAGAAAACTGTAACTCAGAAATTTATTGCTAAAGTTATAAAGCTATTAATGGGAGAGGGTCTATCTGACTGAAAGACCCATGCTCCAGATGTGCCTTAAAAGAAGCACTTAGGATGCCTGCTAAAAATATGGATTCCCAGGCCCCTCTCACCGGACATAAGTGTTTCAACAGATGTGAAATGGGATCCATGGAATCTGCACTTTTAGAAATATCATAGATGATTATTACAATCAGGTTAAATTTTGAAAAGAACACCACAGGAAGAGACTTCATTGCAAAGAAGTTCAAGTTAATCTCAGATCAGGTACAGGCAAGTTTTGTTTGTTTTAAATTCAGAGTACTCAGACTTCATTACACAAGTCTCAAATGAATCATTCCACGCAGAGGAAAGCAAAATGTTTTGGTCACATTTACTCAGATTAAAAAATGTGTTTTTGCCAATCCTCATAGATCCAAACTGGTGTGGCTCTGGGCAATTCTCTGGCATCACAACCACATAGCGCTCAAAAAATGACACAGCCCCCCCCCCCCCCCCCAATTCCCTCACCTTCCTCTGGTGCTGATTCATTCTGAATGTGCATTAACTTGGAGAATGCGCTGCTGAATACAAATCTCAGGACTCTGGAGCAGGATGAGAACTTGCACAAGACTTAGGTTGCACAGTCAGTCTAGGAGCTACACTAGCATCTGAACTTCAGAATTCCTGCTCTGAGCTTTTTTTCTACACCTGACCTGAAAATGTCTCTGAAGTGCAGGGCAGGGGAGCCCCATCCCTATGTGGGGCGAGAAGCAGCAGAGAAGGCTGTGGTCCCTACCTAGAAGGCAAACGCCAGGGCTGCAAACCCACCTTAGCTGCGTGGCTGCTGAGCCCAATCACTCCGCAAACTATAACGAATACAAATGAGGGTGACTGATACTGATTTTTAACAAGCGTCAGGAGAAAGCCGTCAAAAGAGAGGAAGGGATAGGAACCTGCTCCCGGAGGCCCAGTTTCGAAGGGCACCAGCAGCCACGCGTCATCCTTAGCCCCGCCTCGAAGCTCCTGGGACCCCAATCTGTCCTGGCCGCACGTCCCCGTTTCGGCACAAAGCCCACCCCAGGGGGCAATGACCAACCTGTTCTCCGCCTGACTCCCCTTCTTGGTCCCCAGCCCGGACTCACCTGCCGACCCACCCGCACTTCCGATGTTGGAACAGCGGAAACAACCAGCACCCAGCAACCCGGAGCCGGCGTGTGGAGCGCAAAGCCCAGAGACCCGGATGTAAACCCAAGGCGCAGAAGGGACCGCGGCGCAGCCCGCGGGTACTGCGCATGCGCATGCCTCTAGCTCTATAGGGATGAGCTGTGCGGAGGTTCTTAAGAATTCCGAGAGGCAGGAACCCTTTCCTGCACGGGAGTTTCCAGTTCCTGGGCCATCACCTTCCCGCCAGTCTTTTTATCAACTCTCAGAAGTTGAATTGAGGTAGATTCTTTGGGTTTATGAAATTTAGTATGTAGGACTGCTGTGCTCATACATAAGCATTACTTAAATTGTTGCTTATAATAGCAATATGAATTCATCTTTATCTCTAAGCTTTTGAATGTTTACTAAGTGCCTTTTATCAATAAGCTCATCAAAGTTAAGTTTGTTACATGCTGCAGAAAAGCAAAGTGTATACCCTGGGAAGCCTTGGAGGGGCTCCCTAGGAATAAACCTAGAAGGAATAAACACTAGGGCAGAATTCTTCCTCTACCCTTCACCGTCTTCCAGCTGGCCTAAGAATTCAATATTCATGACCTAGATTAACAGGAAGAAAAGACACAAAGTTTTATTATCCATGCATAGAGGACCAATAATATATTGAGACACAAAGAAATGACCAAATCAGGCAGCTTTTATACATTTTAGACAAACACAATAAATTTGTGAGGAATTTAACTGTAAGGAAAACAGGCATTTGGGAGCTTACCAAGGGGAATTTAGGCTGAGGTTGTAGATTAGTAAAAATGTAACAAGTTTTATTTCTACAGCTTTCTCAACTTTAAAGTCTCTATTTCTGGTGATAAGAGTGTCTTTTTTTTTTTTTCTTTTCTTTTTTTTTCTTGAAAGAGAGCTTGATCACCAGCAAGAGGGGGAGGGAGGGGCAGAGGGAGAGGGAGAGAATCCCAAGCTGATTGGTGCTGAGCTCAGAGCCCTTGGCAGGACTCCATCTCAGGACCTGGAGATCATGACCTGGAGGGAGATTAAGAGTAGGAGGCTTAACCCACTGAGCCACCCAAGCACCCCTGGAGTGTCTTTCCTTAGTGCAGGGAGGGTATTTTTTATGGAGGTTGGTTTCCTGCTTTTGGGGTGACAGGAGGGTCTCAGTATCCTTGCACAGGTTTTTCCTCAATTAGCTTCAATTCAAAATAATTAATATGCCATTATGATACATTTCGGGGCAGCTTGTCCTGGGCTCAGGATTTTAATAGGATATGGACTTGTGCTGAACGATTCTAAGAAGAGGTAGAGGAAGCAGAATTAGCTATGAACTGTATCACAGTTCTTTGTTCAGGATGGGGAAGGAAGGAAGCAGGGATAGGGAAGTTATTGTTAAAACAGCAGTCACTCAAAAGAAGGGTCGTGTGGTCTCACTAATGTTCCCATTAGAAACACTGTTTAGGGTTCTATTAGGAACAATACTGTCTGACTACCAGCATGAGGTGACAAGCGGACTCAAAGGAACTGTTTCATTGAACATGACAAGGTTAAGATAAATGAAAAATGCTATGTCCTTAAACTCTTTATCTGAAGTTCTGCACAGGGGTTGTAAATCCTTTCTCAGGGTCAAATTCTGAAATTCTTCAGGCAAGAGTGGGATGTTTCATTTTCAATGATAAGACTTCAAAGTTTCTCCTGAACTGATTAGAGGACAAGATTTCTTAGAACTATAGGCTTGAGTTCATTTTACAAAAGCAATTTTTAACACGTTCCCAGTATAACTTATCATCTAACAAAAATCTATTATACATCTGTGGTCAGAAAGACCAACTAATAAAAAAAAAGAGCTTTGCAGGGAATATTATTGGAGCATAGAAGGATATTTGTGTAATGTATTCTTTCCCAATGTTTTTACTTCTTTATGTGTTTCTGACACTAGAAATGTAAGTTCTGCCCCTACTGTAGGTACTTACTATGATTAATCTGCCTTGATTCCCCTATATCATATCTTGTCTTCCTTTTCTCTCAAGTTGATGTTTCTCACCTCTTGCAACCCATATGCCATTCTCTTTGTACCAAGATTAAAGTAAGGGGTTACTGCCATTAAAGAAAAATACCTGGGGTGCCTGGGTGGCTTAGTTGGCTAAGCGTCTGCCTTTGGCTCAGGTCATGATCCAGAGTCCTGGGATCGAGCCCGGAATCGGGCTCCCTGGTCAGCGGGGAGTCTGCTTTTCCCTCTCCCTCTCCTCCTGCTTGTGCTCTCTCTTTCTCTCTCTCAAATAAATAAAACCTTTAAAAATATAAAAATACCCAATACTAATCAGGAAAATTGTTTTTGACAAAGGCAGGGACATTTGAGTCATTCATTTGTCCATTCAAAAAATACTTGCCAAGATCATATTATGTGCCAGACAGGAGTAAAACAAATACATAGTCCTTGCTCCCAATAAAGTAAGTCTTGTGGGGATATAGAAATCACCCAGCAAATCCTAAAAAAGCCAAGTATTCTCAGTCATGAGACTCTAATTAAGGTTGTCCTTTATATTTGGAGATGGCTTGAGCAAGAAAGGACCTGTGTCTTGTTCTCCAAATGAAGCCCCAAGGAATGGCAGGATTAACAGGAGGGTCCCCTGAACCAAGGCTTTGGATGGAGAGTTTGGAAGAAAAGTTTTAAAAGGCTGTCACCCAAAGAAGATGACAGATTTACAGTGCCATAGGAGCACTATAGTAGAGGTGGCTATGTAGGTGACAGGAAGATATGGCTGATGACAGCCCTGGTCTACTACAGGGCACCGAGAGAAGCATCAGACAACAGTCATACCCTGTAATCCTGAGTAGCTGACATACAGCTGAATTTGGCTGACAGCATGAAGTAGTGTTTTAGTGAACATGGATCATGCAAATGGAGGCCAACAGGCAAAAAATGTTTCAGCAGATACCAACGGGGATATATGCCAAAGACTAAAAATACACAGGAAGAGATAACTATCATTTTAGTGGATGGCAGAGAAGAGAGAATGACAGCAGTAAATGCCTCCACTGATGTAAATAACAGTAGTCTTTCTACCTTAGATTCCATTCCGAGTCAAAGATAGGGAAGGGGGGTAGTCAGAAAGGACAGAATTTATGTATATACACACACACACATATGTTTTTTAAAGATTTTACTTATTTATTTGAGAGAGAGAGCGAGCGAGCATGAGCAGGCGGTAGGGGCAGAGGGAGAGGGAGAAGCGCTCCCTGCTAAGCAGGGAGCCTGTTGCAAGACTCCATCCCAGGACCCCAGGATCATGGCCTGAGCCTAACGCAGATGCTTAACTGACCGAACCACCCAGGCACCCAGGACAGAATTTATATTTGAGACGACTAAGAAAACACTAAAACGATTTGATGAACCTGAAAATAATTGACTTAGGTTTCCTACTCCCATGAGAAGGGGGCTTGAAGGAAAGATTTAAGTAAAAGCTATATTAAAGATGTAGATTATATAGAGCTATTAAAGAAAAGTAAGAATAGCATATTGGAATGTATGGCCTATGAGATTTCTGTATGCTCCAAAATATTTTAGTAGGATAAACCATGATCCAATTGGTATGTAAGGGAAAAAAAGAAAGAACAGATTGAAGTTGGGTCAGGAGTAGATCAGCGTAAGCTGGATTTTTTTCAGAAATAATACAGAGAAGGACCCTCTAAGCCCAGGAAATAGCTTGCACAAAATATGCAGCCAGGAAAGGAAAAAACATACATATGGAATTCTGAACGACTCCCATGTAGCTAAGAGTAGAATATGTTTCAAAAAACTAGCAGAAATTGAATCTGGAAAGAGAGAGAGGTGAAATGAAGTACCTTGTAGACTATGCATTGATTTTAAACTTTTATTGTAAGCAATGGGGAGCCCCTTAAACTTCATGAATGTGTAAGAGGCTAGCAGATTGTGTTTTAGGAAAGAGGTAGAATGGGTGAGGATTGTATTATAGAAGCAAAGATCCAGATGCAGAAAGACTCTAGGCTCATTTTTTTTCCCCTGCCCCAGCCCTAGTATCAGACATTTCATTAATGGCTGATAGTTTTTATTATTTTTTTAATAAAGAATGGACATTAGGTTTTATCAGATACTCCCTGCATCTTTTATAGTATGGTTTTCCATTTTAGTCTGTTGGCGAATCACAGTGATTGATTTTTGAATGTTAAATATACCTTGCATTGCTGAGACAAACCTGACTTGGGCACAGTTTTTCTTGGTGATGGTCTTTCAACCAGAAGCACCTGAACACTTGACTGTGAAGTATTTGACAAATGCTCCTTCCCCCGGGACTGGCTGTAGCATTAGATGAAAGTTCTGAGTTTGATAAAATAAAAGACAAGTCTTTTGGTGGCTTCTTTCAAGGCATGTCCAGTATTTTCACGGTAAGCATCTTTTCCACAGAGCTGCCACAAGCATTTCCACTGAATATTTAATTGGCCATAAGGCAATTTTTCCATAAAAAATAACGACAACAACAACAACAAAAACTGGTTGAAGTTTGGTTTCATTTCTCTATTAGCACAGTACTCCCATTTTTATATTACAGAAATCTTAGCCCTCATAATGGTTTGTATAGTGGCAAAGAGTGTTGAACTCACATTTTCCATAGACCTTTGGAACATTCATCAATGGACATGTGACAATATGCCAAAACCAAACAACGGCACTGAAGGCTTTCACAGTGCAATACAAAATTCAGTTCCATAATTGCAACTTAGCATTTGGAAACTGATACCTCTCTTTAAGAAGGAAGAAATTTGAGCAAAAAAAGTGTGATGCTGAATGAGGAGATAAATTAGCAAGCAAAAAAAATGTGTAATACTATGAGTGAAAGACTTTGAAGACAAGTGCTTAGTTACAATCCACACACACAAAAAAATCGGTTATTTGCATAGCATTGACATGAATCCACACACATTTTAAGTATATTCAAATAGTTCATATTTCACAAGAGTCTTCTTAATTTTGTTATTCCTTTTTTGTGTTTCATTATGTCTTTTTTAGTGAATGCCTTTTTATTTTTGATGATTTTATCTTTTATAGCAAAATTGCCTTGTGGCCAATTAGTTATGTGGTGAAAATGCTTACAAGCAGAACTACCTAGAATGTGTGAGTTGACCACTTTATCATTATGAAAAGATCTTCTTTATCCATGGTAATATTCTTTGTTCTGATATCGCTTTGATATTATTATCACCATTCTAACTTTCTTTTGATTAGTGGTCAAATGGTATGTATTTTCTACTTTTTACTTTTAACCTATCCAAGTCTTTGTTTTAAGTTTATTTCTTTAAAAAAAAAACAAAACAGATTGGGGCACCTGGGTGGCTCAGTCATTAAGTGTCTGCCTTCGGCTCAGTTCATGATCTCAGGGTCCTGGGATCGAGCCCCGCATCGGGCTCCCTGCTCAGCGGGAAGCCTCCTTCTCCCTTTCCCACTCCCCCTGCTTGTGTTCCCTCTCTCGTTATGTCTCTCTCTGACAAATAAATAAATAAAATCTTAAAAAAAAAAAAGATTGAGGTATGACTGATATAGAAAAACTGCACATATTTAATGTATACAGTTTGATTAAGTTTGGGCCTATGCATACACCCATGAAACCATCATCACAATCAAGGAAATAAACATTACCATCACCTCCAAAGTTTCTTCCCTGTCCCCTACTTTTTTGTGTGGTTAGAACAGTTAACATGAGATCTACCCTCTTAACAAATTTTTTAAGTGTATAGTACAGTTTGTTAACATAATAGACTGTATGTTATCCAGTAAATCTCTAGAACCTATTTATCTTGCATTACTGAAACCTTATATACATTAAACAACAAATTGCCATCTTCTCCTATCCCCAGCCTTTGGCATGCAACAAAGTATTGTCTGCTACTCTTAGTTTGACTATTTTTAGATAACCCATATAAAGTAGAATCATGCAACATTTGCCTTTTATGACTGGCTTATCTTTTTTAGCATCATGTGCCCCAGGTTTGTCCATGTCATTGCATAGGCAGAAGGCTCAATGCTATTCAATCATATGTATATATCACATTTTTAATCCATTCAACTGTTGATGGATATTTAAGTTGTTTCCATATTTTGGAGTATTATAAATGGTGCTGCAATGAACATGGGACTCCAGATATCTCTTTGAGATTTTGATTTACATTCTTTTGGATATATATCCAGAAGTGAGCTTGCTGGATCATATGGTAGTTTTATATTTTAATTTTTTGAAGAATTGCCATACTGTTTTCCATAGTGGCTGCATTTTTTTTATATTCACGCCAACTGTGTCCAAAAGTTCCAATTTCTTCACATCCTCGCTAACATTTGTTATGTTTTTTTGTGGATAATAGCCATCCTAACTGGTGTAACATGATGTCTCATTGTGGTTTTGATATGTATTTTCCTCATGATTAGTGATATTGAGCATACTTTCATGTTGGCCATTTCTGTGTCTTCTTTAGAGAAATGTCTATTCAAATCCATTGCCCATTATTTAATTGAGTTGTTATTTTATTATTGAGTTGTAGGCATTCTTGATATAGTTTGGGTATTAGCCTCTTACCAGCCATATGGTTTGCAAATATTTCCCCCGTTCTGTAGGTTGCCTTTTCATTCTGTTGATTATTTCATTTGCTATGTAAAAGTTTTGGGTTTGATGTAGTCCTGCTTGTTTATTTTCTGTTACTGCATATGCTCCAAGAAATCATCACCAAACCAATGTCAAGACACTTTTCCCATATGTTTTCTTCTAGGAGTTTTACAATTTCCAGTTTCACATTTATGTCTTTAATCTCTTTGGAGTTGAGTTTTGTGTCCAATTTCATTGCTTTGCATATGGATATCCAGCTTTCCCGGCATCATTTATTGAAGAGACTATCCTTTCCCCATTGTGTATTCTTGGTTCCCTTGTCAAAGATCAGTTGGCTGTGTGATGTATGCATGGGTTTTTTTTGTTTTGTTTTGTTTTTTAGGCTCTTTATTCTGTTCTCTTTGTCTACATATCTGTCTTTATGCCAGTTCTATACTGTTTTAATTACCATAGTTTTGTATTATATTTTGAAATTGGGAGGTGTGATGCCTCCAGGTTTGTTCTTTCTCTGATTGCTCTGGCTATTTGGAATCTTTGTAGTTTAATATGAATTTCAGAATTGTTTTTTTTCTGTTTCTGTAAAAAATGCCCTTGTGATTTTGATGGGGATAGCATTGAATCTGTAAATTGCTTTGGGTTGTGTGGACATTTTAACAATATTAAGTCTTCCAATTCATTAACATGAGATGGCTTCCCATTTATTTTTGTCTTCTTTAATTTCTTTCATCAGTGTTTTATAGTTTAAAATGTATGTCTTTTACATGCTTGGTTAAGTTTATTTTAAGTATTTTATTCTTTTTTATAATATTATGAATGGGATTGTTTTCTTAATTTCCCTTTTTGGATAGTTCTTTGTTAATGTAAAGAAATGCAACTAATTTTTATATTTTAATATTATATCCTGCAACTTTACTGAATTCATTTATTAGTTCTAATAGTTTGTGGAGTCTTTAGGGTTTTCTGCATATGAAATGTGGCCATCTGCAAACAGATAATTTCCTTTTTACTTTAAAATTTGAATGCCTTTTATTTCTTTTTCTTGCCTAGTTGCTTTTGCTAGGACTTCCAGTATTGTGTTTAGAAGTGGTGAGAGTAGGCATCTTTGTCTTGTTTCTGATCTTAGAAAAAAACCTTTCAGTTTTCACCACTGATTATGATGTTAGCTTTGGGCTTATCATATATGGCCTTTATTATGTTCAGGTAAATTCTTTCTTTTTTTTTTAAGATTTTATTTCTTTATTTGACAGAGAGACACAGCAAGAGAGGCAACACAAGCAAGGGGAGTGCGAGAGGGAGAAGCAGGCTTCCCGCTGAGCAGGGAGCCCGATGCTGGGCTCGATCCCAGGATCCCGGGATCACGACCTGAGCTGAAGGCAGATGCCCAACGACTGAACCACCCAGGTGCCCCCAGGTAAATTCTTTCTATACCTAGTTTGTTGAGAGTTTTTATTATGAAAGGGTGTAGAATTTTGTCAAATGCTTTTTCCTGTATCTATTGAGATGATCACAATTTTCACCCTCTATTTTGCTATTGTCTGTTTTGATTATTTCTTCTCTAATCTTTATTATTTCCTTCCATCTGCTAACTTTATGCTTGATTTATTCTTCTTTTTCTAGTTCTTTGAGGTGTAAAGTTAGGTTGTTTATTTGAGACCTTTCTTCTTTTCTAATGTAGGCATTCATGGCTATAAACTTCCTTCTTAGAACTGTTTTTGTTGCATCCCGTTTAGGTTGGTATGTTGTTTTCATTTTCATTTGTCTCAAGATATTTTCTGATTTCTCTTTCTATTTCTTCTGTGACCTCTTTGTTATTCAGGAGGGTGTTGCTTAATGCCCACATGTTTGTATATGTTCCTTCTGTTATTATTTCTAGTTCTAATCCATTATGGTTAGAAAAGATACTTGATATGTTTTCAACCTTCTGAAATCTGTTAAGATATGTATTGTCACCTAACAAAATACAGGGTATTTTCCATTTTGGACATTGTAGTTTTCATCCCTAAACAATTGGTTTGAGGGTTTTTTTTTTTTTTTTTTTTTATTGTCCATGTTTCTACTTAACATCTTTAATCTTTCCTTTAGCTTCTTGAACATATGGAATATAAGTATAATAACTGCTTAAATTTCCTTGTCTAAGTTTATCACTCATGTTAGATCTGGTTCTCTTTCAGTTGATTGATTTTTCTCCTTATTATGGTTCATATTTTCCTGCTTATTTGTATTCCTGATAATATTTATTTGACTTTAACATCATAAATTTTACCATCTTGTGTGCTGGATATTGCTATTTTCTAAAAATGTCCTTGAGAATTGTTCTGGGACATGGCTAAGCTACTTAGAAATAGTTTGCTCCCTTTGGGTCCTGCTCTCAAGCTTTCTAAGGTGGGACTAGAGCAGGGATTTTTCTAGAGTTAATTTCTCCTACTTGCAAAGCAAGAACCTTATTGTTAGTATTATAACCTTATCTCATGAATTATGATTTTTCTATCCTAGTTTTGGGAACAGGAACTATGTCTGTCCCTATGTGTGCCTCAGAGACCATTCCCTCTGATCCTTTCAGGGGGTTCTCAGTCTCAGGTAGTTTCCTTACATGTTTGTGCTGATCGATACTTAGCTGAATACTAAGGGGAACACTCTTCAGATCTTTTAAGTTCTCTATCTGTGATCTTGCAGGTCTGTGGAACCATGGCTTCCTTGGACTCCCAAATGTCTCTCCTCAACACAGAGAGACCATGGGTCTCTGCCTGAGTTCTTTTCCTTGTACTACATTGTAAGAACTTTCTCTAGGCATTAAGCTGGGATAATCATAGGGCTTGCTTTTCATTTCCCATTACTCAGAGATCACTGCCTTTTGTTGCCTAATGTACAGTGTCTTAAGAGTTATTGTTTCATATATTTTGTCCAGTTTTTTATTTGTTTAAGCCAGAAAGGTGAATCAGATCTCTCTGACTCCATCTCAGCTAGATTTAAAGAATGGTTGGATCCTCAAAATACCACTTAATGAAATTTTACTACCCCAATTCTGTCTAATGCTGAGAAGTGAGTTGCTGTGGTTAGTGGAAAAGTAATACATTTTCTTCTGTCAGTGTTACAACCTATTTGTTTCCTACAAAAGCAGCTATTGAATTTTCAGAGGCTTCTTCATTAAAAAGTCATTATCAGGGATTACTTATAGCCATGTCAAGCATAAAACTTAATAGAAAAACATGTTATGTTCATGGAATCAAGTTCAAATTCCTCAGCCAATAAAAATAAAAAGATTTTATTTGGAAGTTTTATACAAATTAAAACTTAATATCTTTCTTAATGCTTTATCTGTCATTCCTCTTTTCTGAACTATGCAATAGGAAGAAGTTAATGCAACTTTCTACTAGCCTGATATAGATGCCCTCAAAACTCCACTAGTTTACTTCAGTATGCTGTATGTATATGTTCTTTTTTTTACGTGTCATGTCAATTACATGAAAATATTTGTAAGCCCTTACATGAAAAGTGAGTCTAAATCTTGAATAACCTTTTGCTGTAAGTAGCAACTGTAGAGATAGGGATTAACATGACTGAGCTCATGAGTGTTGGGGGGGCACCCAGAAAGTTTGTGTGTGCATGCATGTGTGTTTTAATTTTAGAGTTTATAATAAAAGCAAAAGTAAGGTCTGATTTGATTCACAAAGGAGATAATTTTATGGTCATTATTACTGGATACCTTGTGGCATACTGATTGCAGAAATGGCTTCAATTTTCTATCTTTCCTTATATCTACACCCTTTCTAATATGATTGGGCTTGGTAGTGGTTTATTTCACATTATTATTATAGCAATTGCTAACTGATGCACATCTGTTGTAATGCATTAGAGAAAGAATGTGATCATGTATGGATCCCTCCACACTCAAATATGAGCTAATACAGATGTTGGAAATATCTGCTGAGGTGGGTTTCATGACTCCTAAGCAAAGATGTTGCCTTACCTTTTGCATCAGGCAGGAGTAAATGTTGGTCAGATTAGGTTATTAGTTCATGACTTAGGTCTCCATAGACAAGGTAGGCATTGCAGGAGCATTACAATTTGACAAGCTTTCATTCATAATTTTAGCCAGATATTTAAATATATACAATAAGATGGGCAAAAGCATTCCTAGGGGAAAGTAGAAGACGATTATATTATTTGTTTCTTAAAGAAAATGTACAGTCTGCAAGGGCAATGAGGGCATTTAGATTTTTAATGTAAGCGGGCTTTTGAATCAGTCATTTAGTTGTAATGAGAGACTGGAGAACTTGATTTGAAGCTACATTTCCATAGCAGGCTTGGTGTTTTAAATTAGAATTTAGGTTTATTTGGGGTCATTTGGGGTTTGATATACTTAGAGGAGGAGTTAAAGTCACCACTCATACAGCTAACCTTAACTAGATAGTCCCTACAAACACTGAAGTAGAATAAGAGAGCACTCCTACAGGGAGAATAAGAGGGATTGGGCAATTGATTAAATGGGAAATGCCCAGTGGGTCTTCACACTTTTGGAATGACCGCACAATCTCCTGATACAGAGATATGATGATCTGTTAAGGGTGAGAATGGATGAGTATTGATTTAAATATTTCTTTAAAGTCAAATTCTCCCAAATCTGCCTACCGTGGTTTATATCATATATTTGTATTCATTATAGGAAGGTTCATTCTGGGCTACATAATATGCCATCAATATTGGCCAACACAATTAATTTGCCATTCCTTTAAATTGAAACAAAGACTTTGTTTTTGAAAGCCACAAAAACCAGGTAATAAAATTTGAGGAATTTATATCAGCACTGAGATTTTTCAGAAGATTTTTTAGATAAGCATCATAAAAATGCAGATGTAAGAACATATAATGAGATTTAGGGGATTTCAATTTTAATAGCAGAAACTAAAGCATTGTCTCTTGTTGGTAATTTAATAAAGAAAGTTTTCCTGGGATCATAAACTATGAAATTATAGCTTTGGAGGCTTCTCAGTGACAACTAACACTGAGATTAAATAAGAGCTTTAGAATTAAACATAACGATATACTTTATTGAAGGTTATCTTTGCAAATAATAGCTATAATACTAAATCAGTGTATTATGAAATTTTTACCACTAGAAGTTAAGAAGAAAAGTTTAGGGGCAAACCGAATTGATAATTGAAGATTATAGACTAAAGAAATTATTGATAATATTTTTTTTTTTTAAAGATTTTATTTATTTATTTGAGAGAGAGAGCTTGAGATGGGGGAGGGTCAGAGGGAGAAGCAGACTCCCCGCTGAGCAGGGAGCCCGATGCGGGACTCGATCCCGGGACTCCAGGATCATGACCTGAGCCGAAGGCAGTCGCTTAACCAACTGAGCCACCCAGGCGCCCCGATAATATTTTTGTAACTGATAAAAATATTTGTACCATATAATGACACATTTACTCTTCATACACAGATTTTAAAATAGAATTTAAACTTATGTGATAATTAAAGTAAGTCCTAAATAATTTCTATGAAGATAGGGACCTTGTAGGTCTTATCCACAGGTGTATCCTCAGTGCCCAGCATAGAACCTGGAACATAGAACCTGAAAACAGTTTTCATTGTATTTCAATTTAAAATGGAAGCTGCTATGCTGCAGTTATACACAAGAGGGCATGACTGAACCTGATATAGAACAGGCTGCGCTGATAGGACAGCATTTTCTTAAGAACTGTAGGTTTTGTTTTTTCCAATTGTTCTTTATAGATAGTGGTTCATTCTGGCTGACCCCCTATAGCATAGCCATAACAGACAATAGAGACTATTTTTAAAAAATCCATTAAACTGAAATTTACTGTAATATACAACTTAGTATCTACTTTCATTTATAATATTTAAAAGTTTTACCAGAGAACAGGAAAAGAAAAACATAAAATAGTGATGTAAAATGTTAGGATCTTTTTTTGCCAATAACAACTCATCCAGGGACACCTAGGTGGCTCAGTGGGTTAAGCGTCTGCCTTCGGCTCAGGTCATGATCCCAGGGTGCTGGGATCGAATCTGGAATCGGGCTCCCTGCTCAGGGGGGAGCCTGCTTCTCCCTCTGCCTCTACCTCTCTCTCTCTCTCTGTCTCTTATGAATAAATAAATAAAATCTTAAAAAAAAAAAAAAAACTCTTCCACATGAACTGGGACTCTGTCTCAGATCACTGCCACAGGAATTGTGCTTTTATTTGGTTAGCATATTCCTTAAATTTAATTTTTCTCCCTATTTGTGAGTAGTGAACTGAAGCAAATTAGTGAAGAAAATTAACTTTTATAAAGAAAATTTATTCTTCAGAATATAAAATAGCAATAAGAAGCAAAGGGCAGAAATGAGAAGTGGCTCCTGATATTTTATATGTGCTGCCGAAGCAAGCACAGTGGCTCCCGATATTTTAT